ACTGATGGCGGCGGGATAGACTATAGTCGCCGTGCAGAGATTGATCGAATACCTTATGTTAGTTGCCCAATTTTCACTACGAAACTACTGCTTCTAAATTATCTTCTGACTGATATCGTGCAATAGGGAGCGGTCCGAAACGTATCTTCTCCGGCTTCATTATATGCCCAGAGACGAGTGCCGCCACCATTGTCACTACGACCAGACGCTAACCGATCGACTTCTTCATTATTAAGTCAGCCTTCGCCAAGGAGGCGTACACCAAGTCCCAACCTACGACAGGGAAATGGGATGGCCGGACCAGATTGGCGACGCCGCAACGGCCCACCCTCAATTAACACATCTCCAGCTCGAAGCACACTTAGTCTTTCCTCAACTACCAATTTTGCGCCACCGAGTTTGTCTCAATCAGCAACAAATACGCCAGCAAAACCGTCGCCTCTGTACTACGACTACACGGAAGATTTTGAGGTGGAAAACCAAAATCGGTCAAACTTGGAGCCTCCACCGCAATTCCAACTGCAAAGAACAATTCACGAGGATCGTCCTTTGAGTTCAGCACTTCGACCTCTTGCCAATAGTCTTCCATCCAGACTTAATGGAAATCACCACCACCATCTTCGTGCATCATCATCGGCCTCAACCATAATTCGACATCCTATGAGGAAAAATAGTGGAGAAAGTGGAAGTGGAATTCCAAATAATGGCGATCATGTTCGAGCCGCACTTAGTATCTGCGCAAAGGACTGTGAGAACTCTGCGCCATCTGACAGTGTTCTTGATGATGCCAGCTCTTTAGATATATCAAGCTTAGGTGCCAATGCTCAAGAGTTGAGCTCGCGGGTTTCGAGAGCATTTGGCCTGCACCCTTCACCGCAATTTGAAGTCACGATTACCTCAAGCTATGAGGATGTTGAAGTTGAGCAGACCGAGCTTGCACTTAGAGAAGTTAATAACATGATTCCAAAAAGCGGACTTCAACAACGGAGTGCATCATTACCAACCACAAATATAGCAGGTCTACTAGAAGCTTCTCCATCGATCATCGAGCCACAACAATCCTCTAAAAAAGACAACGTAGGCGAAGGTATCATTTGTACGCCTGGAGAACAATCTCGCGAGAGTATACTGGACAACGGAGAGCTTCAGCAAGCAGTGGAGGATACAGATGAATGTAATGGTTCGTCCAAAATCAATTCTGTGCGTACAAGCAAAGTCAGATCTAGTGGCTTCTCCACCATTGGCAATGCTCTTGATGAATTAGCCGATCTGATTGCGACCGATGATGCTGGTCGATCCAACACCTCCGACAATGAATATACAGGACTCCGGAGAACTCCTATGATGTCGCCAACATTGCCTCGAGACTCTTACTTTGATCCTCCCCCGGAGCACCGTACCAGCCCTCCCTTATCGCTGATCAAGAAACTGGACCAAAGTTGTGCTCAAATTATGGCTACCGATGGAAGCATCGAAGATGGGCTTCAAGTTCATGAGGGACGAATCGAAAAGGGCAAATTACCCAACTATAGGCCACCCGAGTTCCAGAGCCTTGGTGATCAGGCTCCAAGTAAGATCATGCCTAGATCTGGGTCTCCCATGTTAGCACCCAAGCCTATCTCACCAGCAAGGGAGTTGAAATTGAAGAACAGCGTGCCACAGCTTATGAAATCCCTCCCCAAGATACCCGACTCTTCAATTCGTGGATTGGCAGTACCTGGGAGGCCTGCTCTTGCGGGTGCTGACATGCCTTGTCATCTTCCGGAACTTTCTCCAAAAAAGAAGTTTGGAACGATTAAGGAACATGCAGTGAGCTCATCGCCAATTGACCTACCTAAAACAGATTCTTCTATAGAAAAGGAGAAGTTCAAAAAGTCAACGGAGCAAGCTAAATTTATCTCTAGCGCAGTCCAGAAACAGAAAATTGATCCATTTAGAGAGAATCATGGTCCTCGCTCTTCACCCATGAAGTTGAAGCTGAAGGTTAGAAATTCTGTTGCAGAGAAGACATCATCTTCGGATCTTCGGGCACGAAAACATGAGGAGACTTTCTCATGGGCTAGTTCGCAGGACAATAATCTACCTCCGATTAGCCAAGAAGAGCAAAGTGGGGATTTCAAGCCTGCTAAGCTCAAATTAAAACTTACCAGAGCTACTGGCTCAGAAGCTTCCGGAACTGTAAGGGTCAATAATGCTTCTGGAGAGCAATCAAGATCCAGCAATGATCTGCATATCTCATGCCCGAAAGATTTATTTACGCCTTCAAGTGGAATTGACAATATATTCAGGCAAGTTAGTAAGCATCTTCATTCACGGAGACCTAGTGCGAATAGTGATCAACAATCTGGAGATGTTATTGAGATGGTGCCAAGCCAATCATCGCTGAATTTCTCTTCTCGCTTGAATCTTGGCGTGCCTCATGCTGATCTATCAGGAAACTTGCCGAGCCCCACTGACGCCCGAAGCTTTTTCTCCGATGACAGTTCTCATCGCAATGGTGGCCATGGTTTACGAAAAAGAATTTCAAACTTTCGAGCTCGCGTTGGTGTGCCATATGTAGCTCGTAATGGATCATATTCTTGTGATGACATAGTCTGGAGAGATCAACCTGGAGGGGTCGGCCAATCGCCTCTAGCTGCCAAGTCCGTCGCTGATCTCAATGCCGCGAGAGCCAGCTTCATAGATTCACCAAATCCTCGACGTACAGAGCATAGGCTGCATGGACATCGGTTGCGAGTGAAAGTGACTGAATGGTTTCGTGGAGCCAGAGCTGCTATCTCCGCTCGGGTCAAATCGCGAAGTACAATCAATACTGGTAATGAGAGATCAAGGGCTAGTGCATGATTCTCTGGACATGGCGCTGTGTCTCCTTGTTGATATCTAGCTTGTCATACTTGTATTGAGCTTGTCATCCGGTTTTGGGGGGAAAAAATACTAGTCTGGTTGTTTTGTTTCTTTCTTGTTTTTGCTGGTGGCGTTCGGGCGTGTCAAGGTCGAGGTTTGTGTGGGATGGGAGAGGGTGAAGTTTTAGCTCACTGGTGATAGGAAAACAAATTAGACTGAAAGACAACAATAATTTTAACGAATATTATACATGATTACGACGGAAAGACCCTGCATTGATTTATGTGAATCGCCAAGAATATGTGATTTGCGGTGCACTAGGCAGTAGAGAAGGAGGAGCGAGATAGCATCAAGTCATGATGTGGAGAAAAAGTCTTGAGTAATCTGGATTCATTACGCAATTATTTATTGAAGGCGAGCTTACAACCTTATAACCGTTGAAGCTAGGCTAGTTTGCGGTACTAAAATGAACAGAGGTCGAAGAAGATCAACAAGCCTCGTTAAAAGTTTCCTGGAGATCTGGGCTAGGTAATCGTAGTGGAGTTGATTTGCAACTAATTACCTAGATAATGGTTGGTGGTTTAAGGTTTTTGGGTTGGAGGTTGGAGTTTTTGGGTTGTGGGTTGTGGGTAGGGGGTAGGGGATATGGAAGATCTGGTGATGTTTTGGTTTGGTGTAGTGCAGTGCAGTGTAGTGTAGTATAATGTAGTGGGTATGGTATGGTATGGTTGGTATACAGTAAGTAAATCTTGGGGGAGTGAGGTGAGGTAAGGTGAGTTGAGGCGAGATGGAATTGTAATTTTAGTTGTGATTGGTTTGTAGATTGTTCGGTTGGTTGTTGGTTGGTTGGTTGGTTGTTGAATAGGAGGAGGAGGAGGGAGATTGGATTTTGCTGTGTTGTATTATTTTGAATTTAGCTTTGTTTGTGTTAATCCTAGGATTGTCATCTTTAATGTTGGGAAGATAGGCTGTGGAAGATGAGAAGATTGGCTTTGAGAAAAATGAGAAGACGGGGAAATAAAGAAAAGGTTTAACTTCTATAGCAATGGAACTTATGAAGATAGAGTGTAGGGTTATGAAGATAGTGTGCGGGGTTTTGGGAAGCTTGATGGGCTTGCTGGTTTGTCGATAGTTTGATGGTTAGGTTAATGGTTAGGTTGGTGGTTAGGTTGATCATTAGTTTGCTGTTTTTTTGGTTTTTGGTTCTTGATTCTTGGCTGCGTCATGGATGGTGGGTGGAGGGATGATTGATAATGGATGAAGTGAGGGAGTGAGGGAGTGAGGGGAGGGGATGGAATTTGCAGTTGGGAGGGGGGAGTGTGAGTTTCGTGTCCTGAGTGGATGATTACCTGCATTTTGGGGGGGAGGTTGATGGGAGGTTGATAGATGGATAGATAGATGTTGTGGTACTGACAAAGTAACCTGCGAGTACCTCTATATGTACTAAGTGCTAAGTGATAGATCATCAATTATAGTATAGTGCTCATGAAAACTCTCCCCTCCTGTATATACCTATAAAAACAAGGTTTAAGCGGAGGGGAAGGGGCATGAATCTAAGCAAGTGGTAAGTTGAAGCGATGGTGATGTTGAAAACCTAGAATACATCTATAAATTCAAACGCATAGATGTATTTTATAGCTAATAGAAGCCAAGAAAGAAGAAAGGTAGGAGATTGGATGTTGAGTTTTGTTGGGAATTTAGCTTAGGTGTGTGTTAGAGTAGAGGTAAGAGGGGATTGATAGACGTCATTGGTTAGAATCTAGTTGTTTATGAGGGGTTGAAGGTCAGTTCTAACTAGCGGTATATAGTTTGAAGCGGGGAAGAGGAGACCGTTATATCTTCCCCCTCCCCATCTCGTGGGTGTTTGGTCCTCCTTCTAGTTTCGTTTACTCCATATTGAGAGAATATAAGATACACATTGATTGCATATACCGACTCTGTGGGCTTCATATATACTCTATCAACCTCTTTGTTATATATTTACCGCTGTGTCGTCTGTCGTATGTGAAGATAGCAGTCGATTAATATACATATAATTTCCCATCATATTCATCCGTGTCTCTCTCGATACAAGTTATCCTGATATTCTCCTACTCTATCTTGTCTCCCACTATCACACATAACTACCGATCATCAGAATGACAAATACAGTGCAAATGTACCGACCGCTCTTCGGGTCTAAAAATAAAAAGAACCAAGGACTTAGAGTCGACACCACTGTCGTCCACTCAACGCCTACGGATGCCATTACGCCTCCATCCTCCGGCACTCTGTCCAATTCTACCACCTCGACTATAAATTACCATACAAGTAGAGGCAATGCCGGCACGATTACGCTGCCTGAATCACCGGTATCGCCGCTGGGAAGGTCGTTAAGCAATAATAGAAATGGAGATGGAAATGGAAATTCGAGTTGACAACAAACGAATAGCATGAGTCCTATCGAAGGATATCGGCGAAATCCTCAGCCAGACATGAGAGTGATAGTGGAGGGAGCAGACTTCCCAAGCCCGGGTTCAGCAGAGTTTACGGAGCACGTGAGAGTAGTTGTTGAAGTCGAGGAGATTGGTACGGCTGAGGATTGTGCGGAGAATTCTGCAGAACACATTCGCCCAACTAGAAATGAAAGAAAGATGAGCTTTTGGAAGTTCAAAGGGAAAAGGAACCAAAGGGAGACAGACGAAGTGGCGCCTCCTGTAAGTGGTGGAGCGACTGATAGCTCCAATTCTCGTGCGTCTGATGGATCGATTGGCGTTAAAGGTGGACCTAGTGGTGGATTTCCATGGTTTAAACGGATGGGGAGTGGGAAGGGACAAGAAAAAGAGAAGGCAAAGGCAAAACAAAAGGAAGAGAGCGAAGAGATTGATGAGACGTCACTAACTACGCCTACGTTCAATTCGCCTTCCTGGAGTTCAAATCCGACGAGCAATGGAAGGTGGAAGGGCAAAGAGAATGAGAATGAGGGAGAGAGGAGGAGAAACAAGAGTGAGTGCGAGGTTGCACTGTTAAACAAGGTAAGAGAAGGGGAGGAGGAAGACAAAAAGGGAAAAGGCAGAAGGTGGACACTGCCTCGAATTGGAAGAAAAAGTGTTATAGACGCACAGGAAAAGGAGAGTCCATCGGAACGGTTGGAGAGAGAACGGCTGGAGAGAGAACGGGAAGAACGGAACATCGCTAATAGGGCAAGATATCCCGATGGTGTTCTTGATTGTGTAAGTTTCTTTTAATTTTTGGTTGTGATTTTTCCATTACGTAGGTACATTTAGGATTAAGCAAAAAGAAGCTAACTTTTTTGCTCCTGCTTTCAGTGTAAAGACGAATTCAATGATCAGGGACGATGCGCTGAAGGCCAAATGAATGGGTTTGTGTTAACTGATAAGAATCTCAAGGCCGAAGCCAAGGCCAGGAGACAAAGTGTCACCGCTCGAATAAGACCCTAGAACACGGCACCACCAACAATGAACACGCGCTCTTCTTCACGCTTGACCCATTGAATTATTTTGTTGGCATCTTGAGCCAAACCCGCGCGTGAAGCATTAGGACCGGCTACACAGTAGAATTCGAACTGGGGGGTTGTCCAAGCAAGGGAGATACTGTCGCGGGAGACGCAATGGAGTACTTTGAGATGGGAATGCTTCTTGTGGGTTGCGGAGTGTAGGTTTTGATATCGGTTCATCAGTCTGATATCGGTGTTAGTGGTTTGTGGCTATCTACGATGCTTATAATTGATGGCATGTAACGATACCCTTAATAGCTACTTTACAGTATTCTATAGCACGGTCGCTTTGGTATTTAATAATGATAAGAAATGGGCTATTTTATCTTACCTTCGACGATTGACGAGGTTGTTGTAATGAGGATCAAATGATGGCATTGTGAATTGAACATTTGCTCGTGACTTGTAAAGGAAATGTCGCAAGGACGTTCTTGGAGCAATATCAGTTGTCTTTGGACGTCCCTGGCGAACGGCAGCTTTAATGATGTTCATGCTTCCATTCTTTTCGAGTTGATTGACCACGTCGTCGCGCATTTGTTTGAGCTCAAAAAAGCTTTCCTTATCAGCGCTTATGAGTAGCACTGCAACTTCGTCTTCCGTTCTACCCTTCTTGTTCTCGGAGATATTGTCTTTAATAGGTTCGCCATTTTCCACGCTTAGGAAGCTCACATACATGTAGAGGTATCCTCGATTGTTGAATCCTGGGAGACATAAAGGAATCCAATTCTCCCCGCCTCCAGCTCGAACGCCACCGGCTTCGAAAAGCATGTTGAATATGAGTTGGAGGTCGCTAGGATGTAACGAATGTCGTTTAGGACGTATCACACTTACAAGCCTACCACCTGCTACTATCAACCCGTAGAGAAGCTTGTCAGTTCGTGCTTTCAATAGAGTATTGTTTATGACATGTCGTTGGGACTTCCGTAATTTTAAACATTCCAATGCAGACAATAATGCAGATGGAGAGCCTTTAGTAAAGGTGTCTGCGAGTGATGATAGTAAGGATTCAGTTCCCTCTAAAGGTCGGCGAAGATCTGTATTTGGTCTGTTTGAAAATAAATGTGTAAGAGTTGGTAAGGTCAGGGTTGATAAAATCTGCATATACAACGCTTCAAGCTGACCCTTCAATTGAGCATCGCTCTCGCCAAGTTTACTAATAGCAACGAAATATAAAGGTCCATCAGTTGAGATAACAAATCTTGTACGGCCTGCAGTAAATCCTGTAAGGGGATCTTTTGAGCCCTCGTAGAATGATATGATCGTTTGAATAATTCCAATGTAGCCATTAATAAGGTTTTGATCTCCATGGCGACTGTATATAGGTTTTCCGGCGGAAGACAGAATCAAGTAATGTTTGAGTTTTGACTTCCATTGTATAAGTAATTCCTCTTCGTTGCCGCCCTTGCTATCAACCTCCCCTATTTCGTCGAATTCGCGTTCGAAATGTACAAGAGAATGATCCTCAAACTCCTCTTCCTCGTCGATCGGCTCCCCGTGATCTGCTTGTGAATTTAACAATTTCCATGCCGGGCTTTGCGCGTTAAGTCCATCATCAAGTAGACTTGCAAGATCTCCATTTGCCTTCAAGGTTGGCGCATAACTCATAAGGCTTGCATTATCATCATTGTCACTTCCCTCGAGATTCTTTTTCTTGCTTAGTGATGAGACTGACGAAGAAACACCATGTCCTAATTTCGTTTCCGACACCGATCGGCTGACTGGTGTAGAAAAAGTACCTCTTGTGCCATCGGGGAATGATAATGTCTGTATGTCGACTGACGATAATGCCGTGGTAGGCTGAGACTGCAATACCGGTCGCTTTGGAGCTCCTGAAGTTTTGGGTCGTTCTGGTGTCTGGAGTAGTGGACGTCTAGGGGGCAGAGGAGGCCTTCGCTCTTTTGCATCATCGTTATCTAAGGTATCATCTTTGTTTGCAACAACCTCGAGGGCCTTTGTGTCGAGTGTTTCCATAGGGGCTTTGGAAGCAGTATCGCAATTCACGCCATCTGAGGCCGTGGATCCATCTTCACCGTTCATCGCATAGGTCGTAGCATGATCGACCGTCGCTTTCGCAGACGGAGATCCTTCATTTGTTGCATGTGCTCGTTCATTGGGAGCTGCATCCGAGAGGTTAGGAGAAGCTCCCATGAGGTCCCTGCGGGAAAGAGGGTATTCCAACTAAACGATAAACTCACATTAATCTTTATAACTGATTTGTATACAGCATTTTCATACTAGACTTGTAATAATAACTTACCACTATACAAACGGTTGTGAATACTTTTGGATTTCTCCAGATAACAGGGATATTTAAGGCTGTGGTTTATGCGGGCAGGGCTGGAGCCACTGAATGATGGAATTTAGCGACAACCTGTCAGCCTTGGGAATTCGAAGAAGCACATTGAATCGACAGATGAAAGAAGCCACGCGTACGTCATGAATTCGTGAATTAGTTGCAAACAACAACAATCGAAAGATGCAAAGCGTCTTCAAATCTACTTTTGTGAAGTGCCACAAGAATCATGGCCCTTGAGCCAAGCTCTGGCCGTCAGTCGGTATCTCCTGCGAGCTCAGGAAGAGCATCACCAATTCCGAGAAAATGGAGGAACCAGTTGGGGGGAGGTAGAGCTCTCAATTCTTATATTATTGCACATGGCAGAACTGATAGATTGTAACAGATGAACCTCCAAATAAAGATAAAGCATTCCGCAGATATGCATCCGGCGTTGACCGTTCGCTCTCGCTGTTTGACACAGCCTTACAGGAATGGGCGGATTATATTTCTTTCTTGGGGAGGTTATTGAAGGTGTGTGGTCTCAAGAATGTGAATAGAAGAAACGCACTGAAATAATAATTATAGTCGTTACAAGCACATCCTACAAATATAGCTACTGTCCCATCCAAAGCAATTGTCGCAAAACGTCTTGCTCAGTGTTTAAATCCTTCGCTGCCTTCAGGTGTACATCAAAAAGCTCTTGAAGTCTACGGATATATATTCTCGATGATAGGAAAAGATGAACTATCTAAGGATTTACCTCTCTATCTACCAGGGTTATCGACCACTCTGTCATTTGCGTCCCTCTCTGTGAGGGGCCCGTTCCTTGAGCTTCTAGAAAGACACTTACTTAAAATTGATGGACGATCACTCCGGCCGGCTTTGAAAGCAATCATACTTGCTTTATTACCTGGTCTTGAGGAAGAAAACAGTGACGAGTTTGAACGTACTTTGAAGCTGCTTGATGGTTTTAAAAATTCTGTCAGGCCTTCTGGAACCGAGGATTTGGGACAGAATCATAGCAGTGGTGACGAATATTTCTGGCAATGTTTCTTTCTCGCTGCAATAACGAGCAATGGTCGTCGTCTAGGAGCATTGGCCTATCTTAACCGGAATCTCCCAAAACTCGGACAGTCGTCCTCGGAGCAAATTAATTCCTCGTCTAATGGGTCTCACAAGAATGATTTGAATACGAATCAATCTCAATTAGCGGCAATTGTTACCTCGCCTGAGCCTGGGCTTCTTCTACGATGTTTCGCTGCTGGTTTGGGGGATGAACAAATCTTGATTCAACGCGGATTTTTAGATCTCCTCGTTACGCATTTACCTCTACATTCTAATGTTTTGCAACAACGTGTCAAACCGGAAGATCTCGAGCTTCTTGTCACGGCCGCTGCTGGTGTTGTAACTCGACGTGATATGAGTTTGAATAGACGTCTATGGACTTGGCTTTTAGGGCCAGAGCCAGTTAGTCATGAAAATGAGAATGGTCCAGAATCACCAACATCGGTTACTGGAGATCCTCTTGGGTCGCATAATTCTTCAAGGACCCAGTACTTCGAAGCTCATGGCCTACATCCACTCACACAAGCTTTGCTTAAGTTGATACAACGAGAGGCCATAAATCCCCTTGCAAAAGCCCGGCCGTTTCGAATATGTCTTTCCTTGATGGATCGATGGGAGATTGGTGGACTTGTCGTTCCTGATATATTCCTACCTGTTGTCAATAGTGTTCGAGACTATAAGAGTAAAGCAGTGAACAAGGCTGATTTTGCTGAAGTCCTTAGAAGTGCTAGTGTCTTTTTTGATGGTGTTGAAAGTGGTTTGATTTGGGGCGAAATCGTTGGGTTGATTGCACAGGCCTTAGCCCCTGGAAATCTGTCAACTGAAGAGCAAATTGATAAATTGTCCCTCGTCACCTTCATAATCAACCATTTCAATGTACGAGAAGAAGAGATGCTGCTGATACACGCCCCATTAACAACTCTGACGATTTTGAGTATGCTAGAAGATACTAAGGAAAGAATGCAGGAGCGTGTAGAGACGGTTGGCGTCAAGAATGAAGTTGAGCAATTAGCTTTAAATCTTGTTATGGATTTGATCGATCTCATTCCAGAACGAGCTTTTCAGGTGCGGCCTTCCACCGGTCAGTCGATGATCAGACATGAAGACGAGATCAAATCTCTTTCGAATATCGAGATAATACGCAGTATGAAGACATTCTATGTCCAGGAACAAGGCAACTTAGATGCATTTCCACCACCATTTTCAGCTCGTGATCTCAGCGAATTGCTCGTCCGCGAAGGCGGTAGCATAGTTAACGAGAGTCTATCAAGTTCAGTGTCAAGTGCTGATGCTGGTCTCAAAACGAGGCTCCTTGTTATGCTACTTTCAAAAGTATCCAGGATTGGAAGTCTTGATGTCCCAAGACTGCTAGAGTCTATGCAAAGGAAACTGAGCATGCCCTCTCAGCTTCCATTTCTCACATTTACCTCAATCGTATCTCTTTGCACCAGTCTTTACTCGAATCATTACATCTCATTGCCACAGCTATCCAACCTTGTAGATCCTCTCGTTCGATTGGCTTGGTCATATCTTTCTGCTTCTCATCCAAAATATCATGTTGAGACTGTACGAAGCCTTTGGCAATTACAAACAACACTCACACTTGACAACCACGATATAGAAGCTTCGATATGCAATTTGATGATAGAACATGATCTGAATGGTACATATGCATCTCGAGACGCTGACCCTGGACGGAGCTTTAGCATCTTATGGACACACTCGCTCCAAGACAATGCCGGTCACCTTGATCGTCGTAGCTCCAACACCGATATCAAGAATACACCTCGACTTTCCGGTATTGGAAATTATGAAGTTATGCTTGCGAAACCTCTTTTCCTGTTGCTTGATGCTCTACTTGATGAACGAACACAACTTTTCATGACTGTTCGGATTTGGCTACAGAGTCTTGTTGGCATTGACAGGTATGTGCATTAATGTTGTTTAAGGATTTATGCTTACTATGGCTCAGGCTGTTTCATCTTTTCGTAGCGAAGTTCTCGAATTATAGTTTCCTTTTTACAAAGTTCGAGGATGCTGGGACCACAGCGCATCATAACATGCGTATCTATGCAGATGACGATGATCTAGATCAATGCTTATACTATCTTCAAACACTTTCTAATGTATTGAGATGGTCTTCCGACAGCACATGGGCAGCACTTGCTCATAACAGCATTTCTACTGACAGATCTCATCGCTCTCTATTCCAGATAAGTAAGTTTGAGTTATCATGTATTGGTTCTGTGCTGACAATGTTACAGCTGGCAGAGACGATGAAGTTACACTCCTAGAGTTCTTTCTGCATGTGTGCTTACAAGCCATTTCGGGGACATATGAATCAGAAAACTCGGAACGAAAGCCACATATCCATCAATTCCATCGTACTGCTCTGACTCTTCTACACCAAATACTATTGAGTCCATACTCTTTGTCATTAGGGGAACTTCAGTTAGAACATGTTCTCATTCAGAGATTAAGCCACTCGTTGACTGGAACCGATCCCTTCATTCAGGTTCTGCTCTTAGATGTGGTCTATGCTGCTCTGAAGATTCGACCTGTTATCAACCTACCGCCGGCATCACCTACTCTCAAAAAACGCTCCACTATGACTTCTATAACTCAACATGACGATGCATCTGTTTCTTCGCTTGCAATTGACCAGAGTGAACACACAGGACCTTTCCTACCTCCCCCGCCACCGTCCTTGGTGAAGTGCTTACAGGCAGGGTTCGAGGCCGCTTCGAGTAGACCAGTTCTAGATAGTTGGGTTAGCTTTTTGACAGAATGTCTACCGTTTTACTCTGATACAATTTTTCAAATTCTTATACCATTAGTCGAAACGCTCTGCTCCCAAATTGGAGAAACTTTTACCAATCTCCAAACCACATTCAAAGACTCAGGTACGGTTTCTGAAGGATCCGCGGCTCCAGAATCCACATTGATATCCCTGCTCAATGGCCTCGAGTTCGTACTTGCTAAAGGGCACGATCGATTACTCAAGGATGAAACAAAAGCACCCATTACTAAAAGTCCTGATCAACCACAAGGATTCTTTGGAAATATGGTCTCTGGTGTCTTCAACTCGGAAACCCCACAAGCAAGAAGCATAACTGCGAACAACCGGCTAACTGTACTACTCTCGTTCCAAGATGCTGTTCGAATCTGCTTCCTTATTTGGTCATGGGGCGGTCAAGATGGAGCTCAGGATAGTGAATCTACTGCCTCCTTCAATTACACATCATTGCGCATGCGGAACCGAGCTCGGAGACTGCTTGAGCATCTTTTCACAGCTGAAGCATTAGAATGCTTGGAGACATTGGTTGAAATTGGGCAAAGGTCTTCCAAGGGAAGTGATTCTCGCCCTCTGGCTATTTTCAATCTCCTTCATGTTCTTGACGGCTCAAGACCGAAACATACCATTCCTGCGATTTTCAACGCTATATATAGCAGGACGAATCCCAATGCGCTGGATCCTTCAAGGAAGTCGACCTTGACATCCTCATTAAGCGATACAGACTTGGTGACTTTCTTAGTGGACTATGCAAGATCACTAGAGGATGATGCCATGGATGAGATTTGGGTCGACTGTATGACCTTCCTCAAGGATCTATTGGCAAATCCATTTCCACATCGACAGACTCTCCCAAGTCTTCTGGAGTTTGCCGCCATTCTAGGAGTGAAGGTCGACAATACCAATTTCGGAGAACAGCGTCGAATGCGAAGAGAATTGGGAGTGAGTACAAGTTGATTATTGAAGAGAGTAAAAACTAACATATCTCAGGATCTTTTTCTTCGATTACTTACTGCAATGTTCACGACTAGACCTATGGGCTTCTCAGAGAGTGTAGAAAAGCTGACAGACATTGATCAGCGGCCAACTTCATCTCGCCCTTCATCAAGATCCGATGACGTAGTTAACATTTTAGCCTCTATCGCGCCAAATTTACCCAAGATACTTGTTGAAAATGATCGAATACTGAGTGCAGCAAATGTCATCTCATCGAGTGTCGTTGGGCCAACCTTCAAGTCCAGATCCTTTCCAGATAACGTTTCGAAGAGCACTCTAGAGCTACTATATCAGCTCTCCAGGTTACCTAACACGCAAAAGTCGTGGAGAAAAGATCTTGGAGATGCATTCAACGATTCCCGCTTTTTCGCAAATAACGTCAGTCTCATTGAAAGTGATTGGCTGCCATTGCTCAGACAGTGGGCATTGAGCGACAAGGAACGAATGCCGGAGTTATTGTCGCGATTAGTCGCACCTTCTACAGCTGGTATCGTGTTTGGCGTCGGAGCAACTTCAGCGCGCTTTGAGGCAGATAGAAAGTCACAACTCAATCTCCGCCGCATCGCCACCCTAGTCCTCGCTACCATGGATGATAATTTTGTAACTGACCTTCCTGTCATGCAAGAGAAGATTGTTGAACTTCTCTCCGCAACTACAACATCGTCACCCTCTTCTACCACTCGTGCAGATATTTTTCTGCTTCTTCGTGCACTCGTTCTTAAGACCTCGGCCATTCATCTCGCAACCCTATGGCCTATCATCAATGCAGAGCTTCACGTGGCCATTTCATCGGTTGTGGCAGCTGATCACAGCACTCCCTCTGACACCTACAATAATTACTCCATCCTACAAGCGTGTAAATTACTAGACACTTTGCTTTGCATCGCACCTGATGATTTTCAGCTACACGAGTGGCTCTTCATAACCGACACTATTGACGCCGTTTATCGTCCCTCTTCTTTCCGACCTGTTTCTCTAGTAGACGAATTGAGTGAGGAACTAGGACTAGCAACAACAACTAATACAGTCGCATTACTAGAATCATCTTCAGTCGCAGTCTCCCAGGCGGTGAAATATTCTATGAGGAGGCCTTTATTGGGGAGAACAAAAGGTGGATTTGGAATTAATGATGAAGGTACTTGGGAGAGGAAAGATGAATTGGTCGCGAAGGTTCTGAGGCCATTCTTTAGTCAATTGAGCATTTTTGCATTTGAAAGTACATATGGAATGGGTGCGACAGATTGGGAGGCTTGTAGACAGGGGTTGTTGAGAGATCTGTTTGACGAGAGGAGTATTGTTAAGGCGTTGTGAGATTTGGTGGGTTGACAGGTCTTGTCGATTTGGAGATTAGATGATGGGGGCCATAAGTGGAGTCGGAAGTAGAGAAAACGATTTATTATAGATGAAAATGGTGGTGTGCGATGTGATATATAGGGGCGTTCAGAATTGTTTTATTTGTTGGGAAAGAGAGTTATGATATGATTTGATGAGTGGGTATTTCCGTTGATGGTTTCATTCAAACAGCTATGCATAATGTAGAGAAAAAGATTCAAAACATTGCAATATGTCCTTGTTCTATTGTATCTCTCTAGTCTGCCATGTAATATCATAACAAGTGACCTCAATCTCGAGCTAAGTACAAGAGAGTTAGAATACTTCTATTCTTGATATGTTCTTGATTTATATTTTTTGTATCCTCAGTCGTAGTGTTTCGTAGTCCGCGAGTATAGCGGCCGCAACATCAAGCACTCCAGCCGTTCGTTTCCCTCTTCGATTTTCCAACGTCTTTTTGCCTGATCACTTCTTCCCAAACCAGTAAAGCTCAAATATACCCTTACGTCGGTCTCTTCGCAGCCTGTTTGTTATCTTTGATAGGGTATTTGAAGAGCGACCTCAGTAATACTTCATGGCTAAGTGAAATACATGTCGAATCATTCTTCTAGCACAGCATCAATTACGAATGGGCAAATTTTCAAACTGCGAAAACCATAACATTATACAGTTCATAATATACCCGTGTCGCCATTCATTATTCAGGAATGCTTTTTTATTTGAAAGGACCCCTCTCTATTGGCCTAATAAAGCTAGTCAATCAAAACATTTGTTCCGTCAATGTGGAGAACCATTGCGTCTTGTTTGGTCAAAGTTTTAACGACATCGTCGTCTAGTCTGTCCATCACGCTACGTAGCTAGTTGATATCTTTCGATTCATCGTCAAGTTCATCTTGCACAGTACCGGATTTCATCGATGCACTCTCAATTTCGCTAAGCTTTGGTCGTCGATAGGGTTCATCTGAATTGATAAATCTCCCTCTCCACTGCCGCTTGCTTCAGAAATCGAAGCAGACATGATAGCTCTTTTATTATCGTTCATAGTCCATGCTTGATCAACTACAGACAGATGTCTACTTTCTAGCTGGCTGGAACGCTTCATTTTTCCCCTTTCTTCATGGAAACAGCTTTGATTTTCAAGAAGCTCTTGTCGACTCCGCTCAGCTTCTTTCGCTACGGACATGTTAGTGCCCTGTATGCTTTCTCAGAAGAAGACAATCTTACCCAGATCTCGCTTTTCCTAGACATCCATAAGAGCTTCTTGCTAGCCGAGTTCCTTTCTACTGCTACTTCGACGTATTGTTTCCAGCTAACGAGAATATCCCAGTCGGAACTCTATATGTCGCAAAGAATTCCGCAGTCTCAGTAATCATGCTACTATACAGGTACAATAATGATGCAAATTTTCTCTTGAATTTCCAATCTACGCCTTGCTCTTCGATACCACGTATATCAAACTATTCGTCTTCTGGAATCTCGGTGGTTATGACTCGAACCAACTTCGTTGATTGGGATATTAGCATTATACCTCATCGATACCATGTTGAAACGAATAGGCGCTACATTTTGCTGCATGGCGTTTTTTGCATTCGTGCTATCGTATTGGACATCGGCGAAAAGGATTGGAGTATTTACTGCGACAGCTAAGTAAGTACCCCATAGCCTTTTCCAAAGAACTCGCTTATATGAAACGAATTTGTCGCTGTAGAAGTCATATTTATTGGAAGTGCAAGCACAATATGAATAGCAAGTTAACCCCCCGCAGAGCTTCTTTTTCCGGAAATAGAATTCATTTTGATAATGATTATTATCTGCACTTTTAACTCCCTGGAAAAGACTCTATTAAGCGGCTGGGGAAACATACATATATGTAATTATAACAACACTTCTACAATGAACAACGATTGTACAAATAATCTGAAATCCCTGAGTTGATACTCATCAATGTACAATTCCTTATCTCTGAAGAACCTCCTGTATGAACGAACATATGAGTACCTACTTAAAGACACGCATGATTTCGCTAGCGAATATAAACAATAGGGACGAAAGTGGCAAACATCTTCAACTCCAAGTCATCTAGCAGCTTGACAAGTAGCGACTGTATCGATGCAATTCTCCTGATGCGCGCGAAGAAAGGATATCCACCTAGTTAAAGGTAGAGGTGGGGATAGGATATGAAGATGAGAGCTCCGATACGAAATAAACGAGTAGCCCAACGCGCACATGTCATGCATGCGGAACAGAAGCAAGCTGCGGGAATGGATGAATGGATGAATTTTGAAAATATATGGTTTTGGTTTGCTATCGAAATACTTTCGGAATACTAGGATATCGATATCGATATACATATTGAATTGAACCTAAGCAATTATTTTTATTTCATGAGAGGAGTGAGGTTCACTGCATCGTACTTACTTCAAGGTGTTGTAATCTTACGTGCAAGATAGCAGATCATACCCCCTCCTCCCTCCCTCTCCCCTTCAGAAACTCGGGGATAGGATAGATAACCACGGTATAGCTAATAAGCCGAAGTTGAAATCTTCTCGCTTCATCATTTCTTCATCCCATCCCTCTCATCCATCCATTCATTCATTCACCAAACAAACAAACAAACAATGATGTTTTCCTCTTCTCTCCGCCAGTTACGCGGGTAGGATATTTTCCATGCGCTGCTATACATGCATTCTCGCTCGCTACCTAGTACTCTATGATTCGATTCCTGTGGCGTGCATTTTCTACTTTACTTGTTTCGATTCGATTCGATTCGATTCTTGTGGAGCGTTGCTCATGTTATGCGCAGAGTATATACGCAGAGAATATATATATGAAGAAATTTGAAAGAAAGACACGTCCCAGCATCTAGAGATAGATACTGAATAAAAAGTTCTTGGTATATATATTTCTTCATCCTTCTCATTTATACTCGTCGAGATATTTTCCAGGAAGCTTCAATCAAGTTACGGGAAGGGAATGTTCAGTTCAGTTAGTGTATATGTATATGTATATGTATATGAATAGTTTTCAGTGTAAGATGAGAAAGTATAAAATACTGTATGGTAGCTGAACTGGTGAGTTTGTGGAGAGGGGGGGAGAGGAGAGGGGATTGAGATGGAGATGGAGATTATTCCTGCGTATACTTATATAGGTACATAGGTACATGTGATTTCTCTTTACATGTGTCTTCTATCCTCTACCCTCTACCTCGAGATTTGAGGATATTTGTTTATGTGTTTATACACCTCTACACCTCTACACCTATATATAGTATAGCAATTCACAATCTCGCAATGTTCCTTGCAATGTTCCTCGAAGTTTCTAGAGGATGGAAGGAGGGAGGGGGGAAGGAAGGAAGGAAGGAAGGAAGAAAGAAAGGGAGTTCGCATTTCCCAATCATCAGACGAATGGATGGATGAATGAGTGAGTTTCTATAGTAGATACTTAATACCAACCAACCAACCAACCTACCTAGGTATGTAAAATTTGATATCCATTCATTTACTCGCATATGATGATATACCACATCGGCACATTTCACATTTCATATTTCACAATTTACCTACAATTTACCTACAACATGACAAGCCTGGAAGCGAGATAAAAGATGAGAAGAGACAGGCAGGTGAAATAAGGAGAAAGGATCGGCTACAGGATTAGCAATACCCGGATACCTAGAGATGAAATAGCAAGCACATTAAAAACACAAGGAGGATGAATCTTTCCAAGAACCATGGTAGAAGTGCAGAGGGGAGATACTCCTGAATGAACATACCCTACTCTCCAAATGTACGCAGGAGGAGGTACTCTGAACTCCGCAGCCCCTTTTCTTTCTTCCATGATTCTTCCAGAAACATGCTTGTGTGGGGGAGTAGTGTATCGCATGGGAAAATATGCAAATATTGCACTACTTTCTTTCTTTCTTGCCTTCCTTCTCTGGACAACACATATATACCACCTTGTACTTCTTGGATATCCATTCACCCAACGTATGCACCTCATTTCGACAATGGGATCAATACGAATCGTGAAATTTGCGCTCGCAGAGAAACGTGCCCAATGCAGGCAGGCAATCCGGACAATGGAGAATGCAGCCGTGACCTCGTCTAACGGTGCGCGGAGCGAAAAGAGGTTGTCAGGCCGCCGTGCAGTAGGTATCGTGCGAACGAGCTCAGAATGGAACTGGCGGAGGTGATCATGGTGTGATGTGAAGGAGGTAATAAGATGTGAAGTGCCCGAGCACCCATCCCGAGAAGCGCTCGCAACGAGAAGGGGAAAGGGGCACAAAGCAACAGACCATCACCTCCCATCCCATCACACCACCCATCTTCAAAAACCTTCTCACATACCCATCCCACGCTCACCTGATCCGAGAACGCGCGACGTAAAATCCCTCGTCATATGTCACCTAACCCTACCTACATTCAAGACACCACAAATGAAGATGTCGTCACCGTCTACCAAAACTTGCTGGTTCTCGATGTCTCGTCACAAGAACGGGCAACTTTACCCTCGCAGTACCGATCGCTCGTCGGGGATACCGCGTGCGATCTTCGCAGAATATCATGAATTTCATCTGCCCCACCGAACATTTGCAAGCTCCAGCTTGGAAATTGCTCATCTCCTTCCATAAACCTTCTAGAAGTTTTCCATCCCTCATTTGGCAGCGAAGATCTCAATTGAGAAGCTTCGCATCCATCCCCACCATCAACGTATAAAAAAAGAGAGTTTGGCTAGCTCCGCTGCAGCATGGCGAACATATCCAACAGCATCATCTAATCATATGTAATGTGATTTAATTTCCCAAGTACGAAAATCTTACTGGAATCTTGTGCACTGGTCAAGAAAAATTATTCATTTTTTTGTAAAAGTGAAGCAATTATCCAGATGCTCCATCACAGATGTCATCACAAGATGTACATCCACATAGCCTCATTGCCCACAATATGAGTATTTGGAATCTCCCCTGTTGATGTGACCTGTAGTCGGCGAGGTGACAGCATGCCAATCTCCAGTTGCTCGGAAACCCAGTCACATAGACCCTGGGAGCACATCGTCGTTCCCCCTTATGTATTCCCACTTCTTTGAGATCTCTACACTCACGACTCCAACAAAAATAAATTGATATGCTGGCTTTCCACATGGGTATGGAGAATGAATACCCACCATGCATATGGAGTACTGGATATGCATGTACACATCAACCTATGCATGTACACATCAATTCAGGACCACGAAATTGGTATGAAAAGTAAATGACAACATTCAAAACCTCACTATCTGTCTCGCAGTCACGAGGTTGTATCACTGCTAGTCCAATACCAAAGACACACACACGCTTCGGCGCAATGCTCGGTGCAACAGCCATTAAGCTCAAAGACATCCCCTCTGCGATCCACCCGTCTTCCCAGAAGAGACCGATCGACGCCTGCCTCTCCCGATGCGGTAATCATCAACAGGAACAGGAGATGAGACATTACTCTTTCCTTTTTCCCCACCCCTGCTACGAGCCCAAAGGAAACCTCCAACAAGGTTTCCGGAAATATGGGGAAAGCTAACTCAACCGCACGGCTGAAGCCACGAGTCGCTCAGCCGTCAAAACGACTAAGGACAAAACGACTCGTGGCTAACCTCTCTCTTTCGCACGTCCCCTTTCCTGCGCACCCTCAGCAACAAAGGGGAAAATGAAATCAATTCCCAAGCCCGCGCTCCACTTGGCTGGTTGCGAGTTGTGAAAGCCGGTTTAGAGAGCAAAATCATGAAACATAAAATCTTAAGTGTGGTCTTGGGTGCAAGGATACATTCACAATTTGGGACGGGACTAGGTGGGAAATGGCAAGAAGCTGAGACCCCCAAGTTCATATAAGCAGGGCGCCCACTCTTCGGCATTTGAGTTTTGGGATTGAAAATGGGGACGCTATGGTAATGCCATCGAAGTAGCTAAGCAAATGAGTGAATTGGCAGGAAAGGAGAATTTCAGAGACAATAAACAATGGGGCGACGATAGCAGGCATTTGGCAAGGAAACTGGGTTAGGTCGATTCAAAAGCAGGGCAAAAGTCCAGGGTATTGTTGATCTTCATAAGTTCATAGAACTAACTACTCGGCGTTGGCGTTGGCGTTGGTATGTAACGTACAATGAACATGGGGCAGGCACACGAAGGAAATTGTGGTGATGGCTCATGGGCTTTCGGAGATAATGTGTCGCTGTAATGATTACCACCAGGATAACGCACATCCTTTAGATTGACAATTGCACCTTTGGTGCAGGCAAATGGATGTGATGTGTGGATGCATGATCTGGTGATCCCCAACTTGCGCGCTCCAAAAAGATTAGGATGCTAGCTCTGGGAAGGTTTTCACAATGGCGCTGCCTCCTGCACGATATCGAAATATCCTGGGAGAAGAGGTTGGGTGAAATTGGGTGAGATGGTTAGCATAGTACCGGCTTGAATCAAAACCCAATGTACGATATCGACTCAACTACCGTGCCGTGCCGTGTATAGATAGAACTCTCGATCAAATCTGCACTGCAATCGTATCTGTAAGTACTAGGTAGGCCACCAGGAGAAAAATCCCCGGGATATCAGCCAAGACTAATTTGAACGAAGCGTAATTTGCGTACTACCCAATTGGGATTGAGGCGCCTGTCTTATTTCCATTTGTTATCGGAATCGAGGGAGCAATTGACATCTATCACCGATTGGGAAATTGGCAAGATGTGAGTATGCTAGCTCAAAGGTTTGATTATTCGATCCAGAGTAGTGGTTCGGCCTTTATTCACGTCGACGATTTCGATTCGATTGTACCATCCACCCCATTCCCATGAAATTACCAGTATTGAATAAGCCACACCTAGAAATTTTATTATGATTATGATTAGTTATACCAATGATCAATAATGCTTACCCAACACCCACCCATCTCCCCCCCCCCCCCATTCTCAATTAACCCCCATCAAATTCGCCATCGTAACTCGCCCGCCCCCATTCATCTCGTCCGCCAACTTCCCGCCCTCCAAACGCCTCATTTTCGGCTTCCACGTATCCGTCCCCGGAATCATTTCCTGCATGGGTCAGGGCTCTTTCATGGCTGATAGTGGCCGTTTCTAATCAACAACAAAGATTACAGTCATTGCGGCTAATTCAACCACCGCTAGTAGTATTAATGAATGAGCGAGTCATGGTCTCGAGGTGAAAGAAGCTAGAGAGAGAAAAAAAATCCTCTGGCTTGTCACGCTTGTGATATTGGCATTCATCCCCGCATACCATTGCTTACATAATGAGTTCAAGCATTACTCGACACCTTGGGCAATACCTACAATCTCGCTATTCGAGAAGCAAAAAAACAAAAAAGATGAATCTCAAGCTCGACTAGGCTCTCACGATGAAACATTCAGCATTCTGTAATTGCAAAGCTATCTCGAGGTTCCAAAACTAAATCGTGTTCGAAGGTTCTACGTGGTGCTGTCTTGAATTCGTGGTGTAAAGTAGTCTCTATCCAATTCACCGCACCCCAATTCCCCCTTCCCGAACAATCTAGCGCATCATTAGTCTTCCACGCTACAAGCCCGAGGCCACATCCCCCCAAACTTCACCACTGACCAGCAAGGAGTAATATTTAGGGTTTCTGCACATACCTTTTATAGCGAACACCTACATCTGCAAGCGTCCAGCGTACACAGGAAGGAGATTCTTCTCCCCCTGCGTCTGATTGGCCGCGGAATAGCACGAAGTTTGTGGAGAAAAAGCGGTCAAGTTAACTTTTTTCACCACTCAGGTCCTGCCCTTCCGAGTGGATGCATGGTGCTTGCGATGATGGTGAAGGAATGCATGCATTGCGTAGACAGATGTAGAATGACTGTATCTGTATATGTATCTGTAGAAACAGATCACATCACATCACATCACATTACATTTTACATACCCAGCGACATGAATAAGGAATAAGAAGCATAGGTACCTAGTCACACGATAAGAGCTTTCATCTCATATGCACGTCGTCTTGGGTCCCCTCCCCCAATATCTCGAAGTGCAAATAAAGTAGTATTTGAGGCTTGTCCTCTATAGATTGTGGCATGCTGACTTGCTGCGTATTCAATGCGCTAAAACCGGGATTGTTGTCGATCCGGGCGGCAGTCCAGTAGCAGAATCTCCAATACGGTACGCACATACCGTTTGGATCTCGTGAAAGAGGAGAAATTGGGAAAGAAGGTGGTGAGAAAAGAAATGGCGGAAGAGCAAATCGGGATGGAGGGATATGATTGAACACAATAGCGTGGAGTAATTGATTAGTTGCGTCGAGTGGAATCGCTCCCCCACAAATGTATACGTGTGAATTTGCGCACGGTAGATGGGATACCAATCCATCACAATTATCACTTGTCAAGGAAGTAGAATTTAGAATAGAGAATAGATAATATTGACTGATTTCTGATATCATGTCTGTCTGTTTGTCTGTCTGTCCTGACTCGTGATCAAGAATATGGAAAATCCACACTTGGTGAGGAAAAGAGAAGCTCGACGCCCCCTTCAACCTTTGCCTCGGTGTAATCTTCGGCGCTGAGTTTACCGAGTCAGTGATATCGCCGACCAAACGGGTTTATGTATTATTATCGCGTTTGAATAATACTATTTCCTATACTATATCCTACGTAGTGACATGAATCGTTTGCCGTTACAAATCGTTGCGACGAGTAGTGAGTACGAGAGTTTTCTGATACAAGGTCACCACTTTGAGTGACAAGCCAAAGAATGCGGAAGGGTCGAACCGTCAATATTACCTATGCTTCACATTTCAGATCGCATCGATTCCTGTACATATTTGGGGGTAGGGAATTCTTGAGATACTTTTCAATCATGCCAATTGAGGGACCAAAAAGAAAGAAATCAAATCAAATCGAGATTAATGTCCCAAATAGGATTTGTGTACGTCGCATTTTGTATACATCTTATCCAATAAGTATTGAAAGGGAAAGGTTTATACCTACCCTGTCAGATTTCTCCAGACCATCTCCTGTCGTGATCTTCGTCCCGCCTTGCCGGATGGGAAGGCTTGTTGTAACCTTATGATCCCAAGAGAGTCCCTCACAGTGTTTTCGCTTTAGGTTTGAGGATTGATTCAAAAGAACAATAGATAGGTAGATAGAATTAGCAGACTTACTTTGCTTGGTCGTCAGCCTCATTATTGACAGGACGGTATGCATTATGAAAACATCGCGGCCCGAATTTCAATTGGCAGAAGTTGAAGGGAGGGAGGAGAATGCGAGAGCCCAAAGGAAGCAGATGGTCATTGCAGCACAGTGATGACATCGTTGTTGCAGATGTTGGTATTGCGTCGCGATACCAAGTTTTTGTCAAAATCACATTCTGGTGATTAATCCAATCCCATTTCCCCACACACCAACATCATACTTCCGTGAAACGTACTTGTATATGCCGAGGCTCTCAATTATTTTTGACCATGGTAAACGGCGGTGCTTTGCACTGGTGATGGCATCCTACCATCACTGATCACTGGTCCAGTGGCAAATAAACGCCATTTTCGAGGGTGGTGAGAAAGAGGCTTCTTTCCGTCTTCCTATCAATCAATTGGATCAAAGCAAACGCCTGCCCTAACCATAAGATGAAAATTGCCAAGCATAGATACTCATCGACAACTAGTCTTGGTCTCAGTGGCTTGATGGTGGCTTTTTATTTATATCTGAGGTGACTGGGATTGGAGATTGAGAATGTTTACTTCTTCTTGCACTTACTCGTATTCTCCCATTTTAGTTTCATGAGCCCAACACATCTACGAAAGGGAAAAATGCAACTCCCCCTTCATTGTCACTCGTTTCATTATCGCGATGATAACATACATAATTGAACAACCTCATTTTCGTTCGTCACTGATCGCTTCTGATTTGATATTACCTTTAGCAATCGCTCGAGATTCGTGAGGAATGATGGCGTTCCCATTTGTTTCGTGCTTCGACAAGCTTATTGGCGCCACCCACTGCAGAGACAACCTCTCTCCCCGAACCCCGGTAAGATATGACGATTTCGGGGTCCATCTGATCCTCCTGCGCGCATTGAGCATTAAGCCAAGTTGAAGCTAAGGCAAGCCTCAGCAAGGAGGTGTTAGGCCCAATACACCGTACTTGTGAAATGACGGTTGAATCCATCCGTTGAAGGAATCACAGATTCGTGAAATTTTTTAGTACAAGTCGAAAGAGGGTCAGGAATTAAAATGATATCAAGTGGATTGCAATGGAGTAACTTGAAAAGGAGAACTTTCATTTGCTACTCATTTCATTCGTTCGAGAGTCAAAATGCCGTCATGACGAAAACAAAAAGCGCGTCTCCATATTATCCATTTTTACAGTTTCTAAAAAAGAAACCCATTGAAATTAGATCTCCAAATAATAATGGAGTCCCACGAGATTCTCGAGATGTTTGGAGACCGATGGAGAGATATGATGATGTCTGAACAAGGTATAAGGAAATTGAGTATGTGATTAAATCTTCCGGTTTCGCAGATTAGAGAGATGTGTAACCTAGAAGAGTGATTTGATTGACCAATGATCCATGATAGAATAATGTGAGGATTGTGTACTCCACAATATGACTTTCTTCACACTTCCCTTACCTTTTCTCTCACAGCTGGTGTGAACAGACAATCTTTTCCGCCCGTGCCTGCAACTAATAATATCTAGGTAATTTTAAGTACCGTGTTTGAGATTGATTGTACAGTCCCGGACCGTTCTTCATTTGCAAGCTACCTGGAATGGAATTATGGAAGGGAAAATCAGAAAAGAAAAGAAAAGAAAAGAAGTAGAGAGGGATATCATTCTTTTCCATGCATGCGCCGCTCATCTGTGTTCTAATTCTGTTCTGAAAATGTGTCTAGCTAGCTGTATGGAGATGTATGTAACCTAGTATCTGGAATCTCCAGTCTCAAAATTCAAACAGATGTAACACAGAATCTTCCAAACCCCACAATTGGAACGATAGATGTCTACAGTACTTGGGTGAATTGACTTGAATTGACTTGGAATCCCCCAGTCGTATCTAGATCTAATCAGTGAGTTCGTGTTTGTCATACCACTTCGTACGGTACCACGGCCAGCAAATAGCAGCACCAATGTTATCATTGCAGGCGCGATGTCATATGTACAATGATGAAAAGAAAGTTTTTACCCACGAATGATGCATCAAATTAAGTGCATCGCATCGTGATGATTCTTGAACCTCGAACCTCGAACCTCAAACCTCGATATTGCACCTTCCCAAGCAGCTACGTTTATCCCAGTCACCCAGGGCTCTGTGAGTCTTGATTCATCCGTTTGACGGAAGTGGCTGTCAGCGGTTTGTGCTGTTGCTCCCATTTTATATTGCCCTTCATCATTGTTTTCTGTGAAAAAGGGATCAAAGTGGTACATCCTTTAGGGGGAGTGGAGTACGCTACACATGATGCTGAGCGTAAAAATCCCTACCGTAAGCTAAATGGTACAAGACAAGACAATAATAGTAGGTAATGATGATAATAATAACAATAATGATAATGGTAATCATGGTAATCATGCGAAGAACTCGGGGTTTTTTTTTTTTCTTCCTTTGCTTCATGAATGAGTCCCGTCAATCAAGTCGAGCGTATTTAATTATAAGTGACATGTATTCGGAAGAAAAGTAAACAGATGAGAAGACATGAAAAGACATGAAAACACATAACACATCACACATCACACACAGTACATACACAGTACATAATACATCGCAATTGAATGAGATGTATGTTGAATGACTAATAGCACTCGAGTCAATGATGGAAGGAAAACAAAAGATCTAAGACTTATTACATTATTACCATTGATCTAATTTGAGACTGACTACTACGACTACATATAACTTTTTAGGGACGTAGCAATTTGTTATCTATTTTCATGATTCAGCTTTATCTAGTCGTTACCTGGTAGTAAGTAGTAAGTAGCAAGTAGCCGTAATGGTGGTGGTGGTTTGTATGTATGTATGTATCTATGTATGTATGTTGTATGTAATTGGTAGGTATCATCTCTGCCAGGATAAAATAATCTACATTCCTCGTTGGTCTTGACCTATTCAAGTAATACTTGGAGACGCTACTCGACTAGATGACCCTACGCAATCAATCCAAAGTAACACAAATGTTCACATCTCGATAGATGACTTGATAGCTTCATTATTCTCCTTACTATCGCCTTTGTCAATATGCAAAAGAAAGTAGGCATGGATGGATGGATGGATGGATGGGAGAGTATTGAGTTTTATCGCATGGACTATGTGATTCTCTTTGGGATTTGATAAACACATGGAGACTATTCGAGAGAGTCTCAAGAGTCTCAAGGTGTAAGGTCTAAGGTGTGAGGTCTAAGGTCTAAAGTCCAAGGTCCAAGGTCTCAAGAGAAGAGTCTCAAGAGGACTGTCTCTCGAATACATACCTACTATGATACTATGATACTATGATACTATGATACTATGATACTATGATACTATGATACTATGATACTATGATACTATGATACTATGATACCATGATACCATGATACCATGACACTAGTACTAGGTACACACTAAAAACTAAAAACATTGAAATGTTTGACTTTAGCCAGATGCCCCCACATCATACAACATTATTCCCGGGAATAATTCTGCCACTGCCAGTTTGAGGAAGTGAAGCTTGATACATTTCTCGGGATTAAAAGAAAAGAAAGAAAGAAAATGAATGAATGAATGAATGAATGAATGAATAAATAAATGATATACCAAGAGTACCTAGTTGAACTTGCTACTTGCCATACAAGGATTACGTCCATGGGTCAGATATGCTCCGTACCACGAATCCCTGCTCATACTTACATCATGAAAAAGTGGAGAAGGTGGAAAAACACTGAGAGAACTACTGTACTAGGTGTAAACTAAAAAATTCTAACTTTAACCCAAGTAGTGAGTGAAGAGTGAAGAGTGAAAGTGAAGTGAAGTGAAGTGAAGGGTAAAAAAAAAGTGAAGGAAGTGAAGGAAGGAAAGGAAAGAAAGGGAAAAAGAGAAGAGAAGAGAAGAGAAGAGAAGAAAAGAAAAGAAAAGAAAAGAAAAGAAAAGAAAAGAAAAGAAAAGAAAAGAAAAGACAGAAACAAAAAGGAAGATTGAGGAAAAAGTTTACTTTGAGTTTTCCTCTACTACTATTGCTACTACTCTTACTCTTACTATTACTATTACTATTACTACTTTGATTCATTCTGAACCTCACTTAACACTTACCTCTTACCTCTAACCTCTAACCTCCTACCTCTTACCTACTTGATCGAGTTAACTAAACTTTATTAATAACTTCCTTCCATTTTCAATTCATGATTTGCATCCTCATAAAAAAGGGTTCATTCTTCTCTATCAAACATAAAATCCCCCCCCCCTGGCTTCTGAGGTGATCATCAAGAATTCTTTCCTATTCCTTTCCATCATTCTCCAATTATTTATCATTTCCAAGTAATAATCTTGAATGACCTGCCTACCCTCTCACCTGCTTTGGGGCATGTAACTTTACAAATATATTTCCCAAATTTCAGCCCTTTCTCTCCCAATCAACCCTCCGATCATAACCTCTTTCAATCGTCTCCTACCTGCTCTGAGTCTGTGGGAACTCATAAACCCAAGAGAGTAATAAGCCAGCAGCCCGTCAATAACTCTTTCACATTCAATAATCCATCCATATTCATCTCAATATCAAATATCAATTTCCATCTCCAATCTCCATCTCCATTCACCGGGGCCTATCCATACACACACACACACACACACCCATACAACTACCGCAATATCACTACCTACCTCATTCAAATTGACATCTTCCCCACGTATACACCATTAGTAGATCAATAGGACTGCCGAAGATCTGACAGTTGCTCTGACTCTCGAAACTTGTCAAGTGGGACTTGTCTGATGAGCTTAATCTAACAAAGAGAGAGAAGAAGAAGAAAAAAAAGGAACACAGACACTACTTGACCCGCTCACCGCAACTACCCTACGATATTGTTAGCTTCTCCCTCTCTCCACACCAACTAGAAGAAAAAACACAAACACACACACACACTTGCACACACACACACATACATACCATACACAAAGAGCAAGATCAAGTCCCAAGTACCCAGCGGAACATAAAAAGAACAAGGGCACATAACTTGCGTCGATCATTTCTGAAGAGATTTAAGTGCAACTTGGGCCCCGCTCTTATTCGACACCCCTCCTACATCCAAGTAACAAGCATCCTCAACCAGACGAATTCTCCAATTATCGAA